TCTAGGCCGAGGGAGCTGGGGTTTGGGCTGGGTTCTTGGGCGGGTGTTTTGGGCTGTGTTTGGCGGCTGATTAGGTGACAGAAATGCGGGGGGGTGCTGTCCTCCATGGCATCTAGAAAAGAGTAATCGGAAGGGAGTTGTGGAGGTGCAAAGGGAAATGTGGGCTCATCAAAGGTGACATGGCGTGACACGATTATTTTATGGGTGGCGAGGTCCAAACACCGATAGCCACGTTGGGAGTCGGGAAAACCAAGGAAAATGCACCGCGCAGAACGGGGGGCTAATTTATGTGGGGTGGTGGCGGATAAATTTGGGTAACAAAGGCATCCGAAGACGCGTAGGTGAGTGTAGGCTGGGGGTGTTTTGTATAGGGCTTCATGGGGAGTGCGATTTTGGAGGGTGGTGGTGGGCAATATATTGAAGAGGTGAGTGGCCATATGAAGGGCTTCTACCCAAAACTGGGGAGGTAAATTAGCTTGGAAAAGGAGAGTGCGAACGGTGTTGTTTATGGTGCGGATGGTGCGTTCTGCGCGGCCATTTTGTTGGCTAGTGTAGGGACAAGAAAAACGAAATAAAATTCCCAATGACTCAAAGAAGGTGGCAAGGGGGTTGTTTCGATATTCTGTGCCATTATCACACTGGACAGCTTTGATTGTGGTTTGAAATTGCTTTTTGACCAGTGCATTAAATTTGATCAGGTGAGAATAGGCATCAGATTTGTTTCGTAAAGGAAAAACCCATAAGTAGTGCGAAAAATCATCAAGCAATAACATATAAAATTTAAAGCCAGTCACACTGAGAACAGGAGATTGCCATAAGTCTGTATGCATTAATTGAAATGGAAACTGAGATACACGAGTAGAAGAATAAAAAGGTAGGCGAACATGTTTGCCTAACTGACATGCATGACAAAGAAACTCTAGTTTGGATTTATTATTGCTATCTAAAAAGGAAGAGATGCCACGGAGCACAGCTGGGCTTGGGTGGCCGAGTCGGCGGTGCCAAGTGGGAAGGTCGGCTTTGGTGAGATTTGCGTGAGCTAGAGGACGGGCTGAGGAGAATGGGTAGAGGTGTCCGTCACTACTGGATCGATGAATCACGGCTCCCGTCAGTTTGTCCTTCACAGAGAAACCAGATGAGTCAAATTCAACTGTACAGTTGTTATCACGAGTAAATTGACGGACAGATATAAGGTTATGGATAATATGGGGTGAGACTAAGACATTATTAAGGGAGAGGGGGGGAGTGGTTTTGAGAAAACCGTTGCTAGAACCGGTGGTGCTAACTTTAGATCCATTGCCCACAATAATATGAGAAGGTGAATAAATGTTTGAAGAAAATACATGAGATAAAGTACCTGGGTCGCTGGTAATATGGTGAGAGGCGCCGGTGTCCATGAGCCAAGTAGGGTGCGGGTTTAGGGTGAGGGTTTCAAGCCCATGGGCAAGGGCGGTGGGTGAGGTGGGTGTCAGGTATGGGGCTGGGTACGGGTGGGAGGGTGGTGTGGGTTGCGAGTAGTAGGGCTGGGGGGTTTGCGGGTAGCTGGGTGGGTATGGGTTTGGGCTGGGTGGTGCGGGTGGGTAATAGGAGTAGGGTGATGGGTTCGGGTATTGGGTATAATGGGCCTGGGCTGGGTGCGGGTTTGGGTTGTATGTGGGCCGTGGGCCCAAGATGCCGGGTGAGGGGGTGGTGAACTGCCACGGGTTTGGGCCGATAGATTGTCGTTGGTTTGATCCACGTCCACGGCCACGTCCGCGTCCACGATACCCGCTGTTGCCGCCCCGGTTTTGACTTCCATAGGAGCCCCGTCCAGCGCCCTGCATGCCACTGCCGCCGCCTGTCTGCCGCGGCTGGCCACTGCCGGCCGGTTGGCTACTGCCGCTGCCGGTGCTAATAAGTGCAGTAGACGAGCCGGCGCCGGAAAAGGTGTCAGCCTGTTGTTGTTCCACCAGGAGAAGCGCCGAACGAACTTCCAGGAATGATGGGAACGGGTTCTGATATTGCAAAAAATGCACCTGGCCTCAGATGTCTTGGGGCAAGCCTTGGAGGACCTGGAGAACAAGGGCGTGTTCAGTCACCGGAGCATCCACGTCGTCGAGATAGTCCGCTAGATTTTTGAGGAGATGACAATATTCATTGATGGACCGATTTCCTTTGACTGTTGTGCGAAACCGGTGCTCCAACTGCATCGCTCGGGCATGTTTATTGTCATGAAAGAGTTTGTAGATCGCCTTCCACAGGGCATGAGCAGACGGGTTGTTGGCGAGGACGAGATCTGAGACTTCATCGGAGACTGTGGATAGAATCCACCCTTGAAGGAGAGCATCAAATTGGTACCATTCTACGTCGTCAGCGGAGGGGGCTACGGTGGTGCCATCAAGAAACCCCATAAGATTGAAACGGAGAACAAGAAGACGAAAGAGCCGACTCCATTTTTTGTAGTTCGGTTCTGAGATGCTGAGGTTTACGGGGATGTGAAGTTTGATATTAGAGATAGTGGTGAAGGCAAGATGAGGGGATTTGGTAGTGTTGTTGTTGTCGGAGGTGACGGCGGATTTTTCGGCCATGGTTGCCGGCGAGAAGAGAGGGCCGAGAGAGGAGAGGATTGACGGCAGAGAGGGGGAGACTGCCGAGAGAGGAGGCCGAGAGAGAGAACTAGGGTTTGAGGGGAGCCGAAAATTTCAAAGCTCCGATACCATGAAGAATAAATATTTTCCACTAATGTAATGTGTGAATACAAGGGAGTATATATAGTAGAGGTTTCCATAGTTATGTTAGGAAACCTATTGTGTTAGGAAACTATAATAAATAAGGACTCTACAATACAAGGAAACTACTATATACAAAATATACTAAATATATACTTGATATATTTAACAGTTTCAACATGGTATCAGAGCCAAGCCATTGATGTTGGGACCGCGCCTGCAGTAATCTGCGCCTCGTGTGAGGGGGGCGTGTTGACTTGTTCATCCCACATCGGCAATGCAGCCTTATATTGTGCTGCTATTTAATAGCTTGGGTACTTCAATCTTTTGAGTTAACTTTTGGGGTTGAATTGGGTCCAAGTCTATTGTTTCAACATGGTATCAGAGCCAAGCCATTGATGTTGGGACCACGCCTTGAGTTATTTTTTGGGGTTGAATTGGGTCCAAGTCTATGGTTTCAACACATCCCCAAACTCCCTTGTATTGGGTGCGACGGATGAAGTCTTCGACCCTCCTCCTTTTCTCCATCAATAATTACTCACTTCCTACAAAGCCACTATAAAGGATGACTTTTGCTTTCTTATGGCATCCAAACAAACTATGGAGTGAATCCTTAATTTTTCTGACGTGGAAAGAAGTAGGACAAGCAGCGAGGCCATGGGTTTACAAGGAGCGAAACACACTGTCATAAAAGCTTGGTTGGCTTACAGTGTTGTTGGATTATACGCAGTGACAGGGCTGGCCCTAGAACTAGATGGCCTGGGTCGAGACAGAAAAAGAAGTCCTAAAAATTTTTATTTCTAATGTCTTAATGGATTTAAGTACATAAGCTAATTATATTCAATTAAATAAATTACATACAATAGTATAATAAAGAGATTATGAATACTTACCTTCCCAAATAATTGTCTTAAAAATTGGACCGGACGTCTGAACTAGTGAGTCAATGATTAACAGGTCAATCCAAAGGTCAACGGCTCAGTTAACTATCATTAAAAGAATAATATTATATATTATATTATTAGATATTATATTTGTATTTTTCACTCTTTCATTAATTAATTTTAAACATCATCTTGCATATCGCGTCACGTTTTCAATTTGCTATTTGTATTATTTTTTATTAGTATCAAAGATAAATAATACGTATCTAACAATAAGAAGAAGAAGAAAAAGAAGATTTTAAGTGTAGGGAGTAATATTTTAAGTGTAAAGAATTATATTAAATTGGACTGTAATTAAAAATAAAATTAACATATTAAAAAATTAAATTAAAATTTATTGAAAACAAAACTTCACATTATTTTTAATTTTTTCAAATACATATCAAAAATTAGTAAAAAAAATTAAACTCTTACTCCGCAAATAATACAGTCGGAGTTTAATTAAAACGGATAATATGATTTATGGTTCTATTTCACATGTCACATATCGACAGGGTTTGATGATTTTGAGTTACAATGAAGAAAGCAATCCATTGGAATATGCTTAGAATGTTGTATATAAAGAAGTTTTTCAGAATTTGTAATTATACATTTTTATTTAACTAATATCATGCAATTTACTACATTAAACCAAAAAATTAGTATACATTTGAAAAATTTGTGAGTCATCATTATATCAGTAATTATGATCTATTTTCGTATTTTATAATCTATGCACGTAATGTTCTTGCCGTGCATCGCACGGGTTAAAATCTAGTAACAAGAAAAGGAGAAGAAAAGAATCTGAAGGTGTGAATGGAAAAAAGGAAAAAAAGAAAGAAATAAAAAAAAAGCAGAAGAGAGAGGAAAAGTAAAAGATAAATAAAAGAAATTAAGTTTTTTAATAAAAAACAATTGCCAAAAAAGAAAATAGGAATATTTATTTGTAGACTGAAAAAAAAGGAAAGTGGGAATTTTTAAATTAAGGACGGATTATTATTTGGACAGAGAAGGAAATTTGTCCCAAGTCCTCCGCGATTTTTTCAGTCAAATTCAATTGGTATCTAGTTATTTGTTTTGATATCCCCATTCATTCGGTTCATCCTCTTCTTCCAAATCCGCAGAAGAAGCAGAAAGATCAGAAGAAAGAAGAATCTTCAATTATATTCCTCTTCACTCGATCAGGTAATATTTTCAATTGGCTTTAACCTAATTATTCTTTTTGTTATTTAAAGCCAATTATTTTCAATTTAAACTTGTTTTTGGATTTTAAATTTGAATATGATCCAAATTACTTCTTTGAGAATTCAAAGTTTTTGTATTTGAATTTCGACAAAATTCTTCTAATTCAAATCAAACTCAATTCACACCTCCCCGACCTTGTCATCTACAAAGTCAAGGTTACCTTTCTTTAAATTTATAACTTACATTCAAAAATATTCTCAAACAACATTTGGAAGAAAGATATAAAACTGTTTAAAAAGAAAAATAGAATGAAAGATGTGAGATGAATGCGATCGTATACTACAAGTACATTGTTAAAAATATACAGAGTACATATTTTTATTTCTTATTTTGGAGAGCAAGAACAATTGATTTTACGAATCATAAACTCTAATAAGTCTGTCACATTAGCGTTAACGTTTTGGATAAAATTTTGATGATTTTCTTTAATTTTTAAAATGCAAAAATTAAACATTGTCGTTAAATAGCTTTTCCAAATCAATAAAGCTAAACGTTGGAGTTGCTCTTAAGCACACCCTAATGCGTGGACGGTGGAACAAAATAAGGCCTTAAAATTTTAATGTTAACGTAGATTATTCTATGAGACACTTGACGTGCAATTCTTCATGATTTTCCTTGCACTTTTTTTTTAAAAAAATTGCCAGCTCATCACATCGTTCTCACTATTCTACTCTAGGATCGGTTTGGTGAGTTTTAATCATCGTTCATGATTTGGTGTACCGATTTAATTTTGAACTGGTTTAAGAAGTGTATGTTCCTGATTTATTAGTATCATTGGGTTGGAGTTGAACCAACAAATCATAAACTTTATTTTTAGAATATTTTTAAATTCATAGTAGCACTTGACTTTCATACTAAAGAGTTAAAATATCAAGATTACTACCTCCGTCCCAGAATATTTGTCCATTTTCATTTTTACACATCATCCAATACACTTCTTTAATCCCTTTTATCTTGTAATTTCTTTATTAAAAAATTATAGAAATTATATATTAATAATCTACTCCCTCCGTCCCGTGAAACTTTTCTCCTTTCTTTTTTATCCGTCCCACAAAACACTTCTCATTTCTATTAAAACCCCCTTTTACCCCTTACTTTTTCATACCCTAACTATCACATCATACCTTTTTACTAATAATTTATCCATCAAATCATACTTTTACCCATCACAAAATGACATTTTTGGAAATTCAATACCAAAATACACTCCCCTTAAATCCCTCCTAAAAAGCACAACTCTCATGTTTCACGGGACGGATGGAGTATATGTTAAGATAAATCAAACAGGATCACACATGACAATATTTAGGCTTACACATTAAGAGAATTTGATGAGTCAAAGTACTTAGATGAACAGTTCCAAAAGTCAAAAGTGGACGAATATAGCGGGACGGAGGGAGTATTAGAGTTATTAAAATATTTTATTTTATTTTAAGATATATTTATCAATATTATGAATAATACTCCCTCCGTCCCAAGAAGAATAAGACGGTTTGACTTTTTGGGAAATTAACGGAGGGATATTTTGGTATTGACTTTCCAAAAATAACATTGATGTGATGGGTAAAAGTAGGATGTGATGGGTAGGTTATTAGAAAAAAGTATGATGTGATAGGTAGGGTATGAAAAAGTAAGGGGTAAAAGTGGTTTTTTAATAGAAATGTAATGAACTTTACGGGACGCAGTTTTTTCTAAACGTAACAAACTTTTTGGGACGGAGAGAGTATAAAATTTGAACCAATTTCAAAAAATGTAAGATAACTATGTGACATCATTAAAAATTGCTCAAAAATATAACTTTATACAGTAAAACGAGTAATAAGAACAAAAATTAAAAGCATACCATTATTTTTATCACATTACTCTTCATAATAAATTGATTTCAAATAGCTCTTACTTTAATAGTAATAAGTCACCCAGTAACTTGATCTCATAACTACTTGTGCAAGACGGGAGGTCTCACAGAAAACATAGTTTTGGAAAGTTATATATTGAGCTACCAAAATCCAAATTTTAGCATCAACCATTACTTTATTTACTAATGTGTGTGTATATGTATATACCCGGTATTTAATATATGTACCAGCATACTGGATGGACTAGGGCTAGGGTAGCATCGAAAGATGCAAAGAGGAGAAGAAATAAAGAAAAAAGAGGCAAGGCGAGATGAGGAGGGCGACGACCGGATAAGTGATCTCCCACTCCAACTTCGGGCGGCCATTGTATGCTTGCTGCCGGTGGAAGAAGCCGTCAGAACCACCGTTCTCTCAAAGTCATGGACACATGTTTGGACCCACTTTAATCACCTCGCCCTCAATATGGACCCAGACAAACTCTGCCGCCGCCGCTTGAATGGTCGTGACACCCAACCTTTCAAAAGCCTCCTAGACTCTCTTGCGCGTCTTAATGTTGGCATACGCAGTCTCACTCTCTCTCGGGCACGCGGCACCCTGATACAACAGCTGGTGGATGCCGACGATGAGCACTACTACTCATCTGATCATCAGTGGAGCTTATTTAGCAAGTTCCTAGAGGTGCTCGACCTGTGGAATGCCCAATTAATGGCACCCATAATAGCATCTGAGCGACCATTACCTTTTCAACGTTGTACGAATCTCAGGACGCTCAAGTTGAGTAAAGTCTCACTACAAGTCCATAGGTTGGAGGCTGAGATCTTTCCCAATTGCAACCTTCTAGAGAGCATGTCCCTGCACTGCTGTGGTTTGCTGGGATTGAGATCCTTACGGAGGGAGGTGTTTAGCATATCAGCTCCCATAAATCTGAAATCGCTGGGTCTTCATGGGGTTCGCCTCAAAGGTGCAGATTTTCTCTCGATTAAGGCACCTGGTCTTCGTAACCTCGCGCTTAACAACACATACTTTTACTATTATACAAAGGTTATTGACGATGTTCCTGAATTCAGTTTTGCACTTGACGCTCCCGAACTTGTTGCACTCCAAGTCCATGGCATCAAATTCGATGCACCTCCGTATCCACAATATGATGGACCCTCCAAATTTTATTACTTGACTTGCACTCATATCCTCCGTCTCTTCTTCCTTTCATCATCTCCGCAGGTACATTATATATAGTATTCACTGTTTTGTGTGTTCTTTCTTTCTTTTTCTCTCTCTTCTTTTTTGGGTCATCGTTGTTATTAATTTCCTGCTTGTGGGATATTTAATTTCTAGGTTCAACAAAGCACCCAATTTAGAAGTCTAAGAAGCTTGTCTAGTGATTTAGATTTGAATGATGCTGGAGATCGTGCATTGTTGTTGAGGATTCTTAAGCTCTCTCCATCTTTAGAGAGGCTCTACATTAGCATCCCTCATCACAAGGTAACTTTCTTAATTTCATCTCTTGTAGGGGAGAGATTGTATGTATGTTTATATTCCACTGCACCAATTGATTAAGAATTTATCCCAATTTATAGCATGTGCTTATTTCTAACTATATTTTAAACATCCGACCTCTCCCCTATCCCGAAATGTGCAGGAGTCTTTGAGGGCACTGGTTAATGTTTTTTTTTTTTTGCTTATTTTTAAATATATTTATCCTAATTCTTGTGGAGAAAAGCAGGACAGAAGTTCCAAAAAGTTCATTTGCGAGAGTCAATCTCAATATGGCGATCACGCATCGGAAAACCCTGAGGATCTTGGAGATTACATCTTTCCATGCTTGAAATCAATCAAAGTGAGATTGAACACGGAAAATATACCAAAAGATGTACACCATTTTTTGACAAATCTGAAGCAAAGGAATCCAAACTTACAAGTGCAACCACTGAGTCCAAAAGGTATGTACCTTCATTGGTGTCATTCAACCACTGTTTAATGTTTTGAGTGGGTGCATTTTAATACTCCGTATTTGAACAAATGGGAATGCATTTTATTTAAGTGCTTTACCATCAATTTTTATTTTTGAACAAGTTTAAATTTTTCTAGACTTCAAATACTCCGTAATAAAGTTTATTTTATGCACGAGACAATGCCTTATGCAATTTTTGTTTTTTAATTTTATACCTCATGCAATTGGACTCTTAGAGCATGTTCTTTAATTTGGTTTAAAAAATAGAGTTAAATTTTAGTTGAAAGAAATTAGAAGAAGCTAAAAAAATTTATATTAAGAAGAAACTTGAAAAGGTTGAAAAAAAACTTGGAATGAGTTGAATGTTTGAAAAAAAAAATGAATGAGTTGATAAATGTTGGAAAAAATGAAAGATTTTAAAATAAATATTACTCCATAGTATATTTTTGAAATTTTTATTTTTATTTATATAACTTGTGCTTTATTTATTTCAAAATTTTCTTTTTCTACAGTATTATTACTTTTTGTAACACATTTTAATCTTAATATCAATAATATAATTTTTTTTTTGTTTCTTAATTTTGATACCACTAATTAATCCCTAAAATTCTGGATAAAAATAATAATATTTTTTGTTACTCTTATTTCAGCGCATTTTTATTACTATTAATGGAAAGGAAAACTTGACATAAACAATATATCATTATTGCACATTCGGTAAATGTAATCTCATATTATACTTTATACATTAAAATCCATACTTTATTTAAAAGCAAGAGAAATTTTAATTTGGACAATTTTTCCGGCCCATTTGCATGTGACATGCTGACCATTGAAAATAAACGGAGTAGCCAGCTCCGTGTTGCACTGCCAAAAAAAAATGTTCTGACTAACCCTGCCAGGAATGTGATTTTATTATTTTGCGTATGATGGGAATTAACTCTAATTGTTTCATACATTTAATTAATGTCTTCACCTTTTATAATTTTTTATGATCAACATTTTGGACGGGCAAAATATTGCATCATTATTGGATACACTAATACATTGTATAGTTCCCAAAATAATTTGATAAAAATTTAATCTACATAAAAATATCTCCATAGATTTTAATATAAAAAACAATAGGCCCATTGTAAACATAAGAATTTAATGTCTATAAAAATGCGTATTAGTTAAAAAAATAATTACTGAACATTTAAACAATACTCCCAAAAATTACAGATTTTACATAAATACTCCCAAATTTGCTCATTTACATCATTACTCCCACATTTTCCTTTTATTTACATCATCACTCCCAAATTTGGTAGTGATTATTAGTGTTAGTTAGATGCATTTTATTTGCGCTAAGTGAACAGTTAAAGTGCAGACATGTATTTTTTTTCACTCTAATATACCAAAGTCACCTCAACTTATTCTCTCCATCGACTTTCTCACGTCTTAGGAAATCTAATCATTACCCTTATTTCCATCATTTTTTAAAAAAATTCAGATTTCAAACATTCTAAATCTTTTTAATGTTTAATATCAAGTCTGTTCATATTAATTTAATTTGAGTTCAATAAAAAAGATGAAAAACCCTATTTAAAAAGACGCACCTGAGTAATGACGTAAATAATAGGCAAATATGGGAGTAACTATGTAAATAAATAAATTTGGGAGTATTTATATAAAATCTGTAATTTCTGGGAGTATTTGTGTGAATTTTGCCTTGATAATTTGATATAGTGACGAACATTCATATTTAAATTGGATAGAATTTCTTCAACTGTATTTGCTCTAGGAGCTAAAAGGTTATCAATTGGTTGGTTGCAATATCGATCGAAATATATTGAAAAGGTCCCAAGAACTTACAAAGGAATCATTGCCCATTTTCAAAAATATTTTTTCTTTCATATTTTTTATTTCCAGTTAAACACTTTCATTTTCTTTATAATGTTTTTTATGTTTTACCTATCACACCATATTTTTTGAAGTCAACAATAATTTAACACATACTTAATTTTATACTTGGTCAAAATTAGAACACTTTTTGACGACCGAGGAAGTATAATTTTTATCGGATATTTTTCAATTATCAGAAAATGCCTTGAATTTGTAATGTAGACGTATTGGGATTACGACTAGGAATAGGAGTAAGATTATCTTTTCTAGTCTCATATTTATATATGTAGTAGGATTAGGATTACCCATCTCCTTCCCTATATATACTCTCTCCATCCACAAATAAACTTTGCATTGCGCGTCAAATCATTTTATATGAAAAATGGTGTTGAATTAAAAAATAAAAATTACATACTTCCTCCGTCCCCCATAGATCTTCTCAATAGCCCTTTTTCTTTGTCCACAATAGATCTTCTCATTTCATTTTTTTAACAACTAAAATAATACAACTACCCACACTTACTTTATTTATTACACCTCACTCACCTCATTTAATACACTCCACCCATTTTCATTAAGGATATTATGGTAAACTTTCACCTTTTTTCAACTCTCCTTAAAAATCACCAAAAGTCAAAATGAGAACATCTTAAGGGACGGAGGGAGTATTTAAAAATTATATCAAAAGATCTACAAAACTAGACTATATTATTTTATCATATGGGCAACAAAAATAGGCCAACAAAGTGAATAAAGTTTGACCATGTGAATAGTGAACATTAAGTTTATTTGTGGACGGAAAAAGTATATAGCTTATATATATACACTCTCCTCAAAAACTATTCCTATTTCAATTTTTTAATTCCAACAAATCACTCCCACTTTCTATTAAAAAATCTACTTTTACCCTTACTTTTTCATACCCTACCTATTACTCCGTACATCATACTTTTTTTCTAATACTCAAGCCATCACATCTTACCTTTACCCATCACATCAAGGACAAAATTAGAAGTCAACTACAATTTAACACTTCCTTATTTTTACACAAAGTCAAAATAGAAACGCGTTTATATAATTAATTTAGTAATTAAACCTTATAATGCTAGACTAGAGTTCATGTATATTCATTGCATAAGAAAGTTTTAGTTTTAATTTGGAATGGAAAGAATAATAGATTTTGTGTAGCAGATGGTACAAAATGCTTGATTAACAGTTATTCTCTCTTATTGTTTCCTTCCTTTTTTACTAGGATTAGATTGAGAGCCAAAGAATATTCAATTCATAGCATCTTCTCGATTGATTTTTGTTACTAGAGGTAAACTCTTGAGCAACAAAAAGAACCAAACAAAATACTAAGGACACAAACAAAATAAATCAGATCAGTTAATAAAGCATAAGATTAAGAAAAAGAAATAGACAAACAGAGATCATGCTTTACTAATAACAGGTAAGACCTTTACATGATGCATGTTACTGCAAAAGATGAGTTGCTGCATACTTGAGTAATGTCTAAATAGTAATAGCTAATATAATAGGGTAAAGGGAGTCTCAAAAAAGTTTAATTTGGGCAACAGATTAAAGCATGTGTGCATGCAATTAGCCTAGCTATCATCTGGTCTGGCCCTCTCTTTGCAATTAGTAATCACCTTTTATATATTTATACCTCCTAAGATTCAATCAACCATCTCCTGATCCCCTCCATATCTGTAAGACAGCAATAAACAAATACTTCAGCAAACATTCTCAATCAACACACAAACAGGAATTAAAAGAAAGAGCTGCATTTTTAAAAGAAGACCATTTTAGTCTGTCAAGAACCTCTAGCTGCTAAGTGACAACTGTCTTTTGTCTCCCATTTTCATTTTTTGAGACTAATAAGCCGCTCGCCCGTATCTCCAATCTAAAGTGCAATGAGAATGTGGAGAGCGTTACTCATGTGTTGTAACAATATTGATCATGTGGCCTGCTATTTTTTGGAATCACTTTTTTCCTACTTCAAGTAAATGTTGTTTCCATCATTTTTAGTTACCGAACACTCCACTGATCAATACCATTAGAATCAAAGAATGGCCTGGACCTTTGGTGTTATCAACTTTGAACCATAGATTTGGATGTGGTATCAAAGCATGGTCAATCCTACCCAATCCAAAACACCTAAAAAGAAGATCAAGAAGCCTGGAAGACTCGTAAAGAGAAACACTGTTCCTTTATCAGAAGTTTGTTTCATCCACTCGAATAACAAATAATTGGAATTTAACCGCACACAAAGAATGTATGGGTAAAATCAGCTAAAAGTGTTCAGTTTTCACACCAGCAAATCAATCATATACTGCATAAACTCTTCTTTGGCCTGAGCAGTGATTAAAAAATCCCATAAATATAACAGATTTCTTAGTGTTATACTAAATAATACAGCATACAGTTAAAATAAAGATACTTCAAAATAGCATATGCTAAAAATATTTATTCAAAAGAGGGAAAAATGCATTTAAAATAGAAGATTTTAAATGCGAATCCAATCCCCATAGACCAGCAGTTTGTTATTCGAATAAGTTTGTTATTCGAGTCAAAGATTTGAATTCAATCCCCATAGACCAGTAGTGATGGGAATTCAAGTTTTGAATTCAAATGGGAATTATATGATTTTATTGCATTGTGTTTTTTAATTCCCCCTATTTTTGTAGACAGTTCTTTTTTCAAAGCTTTTGGATAATACCTTCACTGCTAATTTCTACATGGCCTCAGTGTTGGATATTGTCAATGAGCATAATGTCATTGTGTTCTGAATGTCCATAGCTTAACATGTCATTCTCTTCTCATTTTGTCATTCCATCTGCATGTTGCTAATAATGACCTTGAAGTATATATACTTCATACATATTACTGTTATGAAATTTTCTTTTCATGGCATTAGCCGTTCAAGCAAGGACATTTTATATTATGAATTCAATGACCATACGCAGTAAATGTGTAATATCAAAATATCCACACAAAAAAGGCAACATATTGTACAAACAAACTGTTTAGATAAGGATATTATGCAAAATGTCCAAATAAATTGATCAGATAATGACCTTAAGAATAAAAAAGGGCGTTGCAAAAATGAACTGATCAGGTGAAGACATTATGAATAAGAAAATCAAATGCACAATCACCACATATAATGACCATGCATAGTAAATGGGTAAAAACAAAAAAAGGCCAATATATAGTTTAAACCAAGTGTTCAGGTAAGGACATTATACATAGTATACAAACAAACCAATCAGATAATTACATTAGCAATACTGTAATATAAATTGATCTGAGAAGGACATTATGGATACAAGTCTGCCAAAAATGAACTTCCTTGCCAATATTGATTAATAAAAGACTCGTAGTTCGGTTATGTTATACTCCCTCCGTCCTAAAATTAATTTCCCATTTTGACTTTCACAGTCAAAGTTTTTAAACAAAAACTTTGACTGTATATTACGGAAAAAGTATATTGAATTTGTATATAAATTTAGTATGAATAGATTCATTTTGAAACATAGTTTTGAAATATATTATTTTGATAATATATATTTATATAAAAATGGAGATATTAATGGAGACCGTGAAAAGTCAAATGGGAAGTTAATTTTAGGACGGAGGGAGTAATAAACTCGAAGACTCATAGTATTTAAAGCATAATTATGCTCCGTGGATGTTCCGATTTGGACCGTTCACCCTTGAAATTAACAACTATGCGAACAACATCTCTTGGCTTCTCCATGGGGTTCGAAAGAGAACATTGTACAGAAATGAAGAAAATATGATGCTACAAACAGTGATGGCAGAAGAAGAATGAAGAAGAAAGAACGAATAACACTTATGGTGGAAGACAAATGAGGAAGAAAAGAGCTGATGCGGCATTGCAGATACTGATCTGCGCCGAATTGGGTAGAAAGTGGGAGATAATGCAGTAGTTTTCCACTAAAATAGGAACAATTAATGATAAAATGCACTGGAGAAAAGGATTGAGAAAAACGAAAGAGAATAAAATCTTTATTGAAGCTTTAGCAATGGAGATCCTTCTTACATTTCTGTTGCATATTCTGTTACCTCTACTGAAGATACAAAAACAACTATATATAGAATAGCAAGGAGAGAAGAAGAGAGAAACTAAACATCCGTAAAATAAGGAGAGGAAGTTGGATAAATTTAACAACTGGCCGTGACAGGTGGCAACTCCAGATTATTCTTCACCCCCCCGCAAGCTGGGTGGTGGTGAAACCATCCCCAGCTTGGATAAAAGCTTGTGAAACTGTTCAGCAGGTAAAATCTTTGTGAGCACATCTGCAAGTTGGTTGGCAGTGGGTAAATAGGACAGCTGAATGAGACCTTCAAGCACCTTTTCTCTGGTGAAATGACAATCAATGTCTATGTGTTTTGTTCTTTCATGAAAGACAGGGTTTTTAGCAATGTGTAAGGCTAATTGGTTATCACAGTGTAAAGTAATAGGCTTCAAATGGCAGACTTGAAGTTCCTCAAGCAACCTAACCAGCCAAGTAACTTCAGAGGCAGCCTGTGACATAGCTCTGTATTCAGCTTCAGAAGAGGATTTAGAAACTGTGCTTTGTTTCTTGGACTTCCAAGAGATTGGAGAACCCCCAAGAAGAACAATATACCCTGTAACAGATCTCCTTGAAAATGGGCAGGAAGCCCAATCAGAGTCTGAAAAAGCATGTAAAGATAACTGGTCAGAACCTCTCATGAGAATACCCTGATCAATGGTGCCCAACAAGTAATGAAGGAGATAAAGAGCTCCTTTCATATGAGATTCTTCTGGGACCTACATAAATTGGCTCAAAATCTGAACAGAATATGAAATGTCGGGTCGAGTGTGGGTGAGAAAATTGAGTTTTCCTATCAAACTTCTGTATATTGTGGGATCTGAACACAAAGGTGATTCACCATGCTGGAACTTGAGATGCTGAGGAAGAGGTGTTTTCACTGGTTTATCATGTAAGCAACTATGTTCAGCCAGCAAGTCTTGAGTGAACTTTTTCTGAGAGAGAATGATGCCTTCAGAGGTGTAGGTTAACTCAAAACCAAGGAAATAGTGAGCAATTCCCAAGTCTTTAATGGTGAAGCTATCATCAAGAAACGCTTTAAGTGAAGTAATAGAGCTAGAATTTGAACCAGTGACCAGGATGTCATCAACATAAACAGCAGCTAAAGTGATGTCCTGAGATGAAGTTTTGATGAACAGACTAGGATCACTTTTGGATTGAGTGTATCCTTGACTGAAGAAAGCATTGGAGAGTTTGGTGAACCATTGACGACTAGCCTGTTTAAGCCCATAGAGAGACTTTTTGAGACGACAAACCTTGTGTGTAGGGTTGGATACCTCGTCAGTTAGATCCCCATGGAGAAAGGCATTATTGATGTCTAATTGAAATAGATCCCAGTGTTTGGAGGCAGCTAAAGCAAGAAGACATCTGATGGTGGGCATCTTAACCGCAGGGGAAAAAGTTTCAGTGTAGTCTATTCCATACCTCTGATGATTACCTTGAATAACGAGCCTTGCCTTGAATCTCTCTAGGCTGCCATCAGATTTGAGCTTAACTTTATAGACCCATTTGCTGGAAATGGCTTTCTTTCCAGGGGGAAGATCAACAAGTTCCCAAGTTTCATTAGCTTGTAGGGCTTCTATTTCTTTCTCCATTGCAACAACCCATCTTGGATCAGTGGAAGCCTCAAAGAAGGATGTGGGTTCAGAATAGGAACACAAATGAGTAAGAAAGGCTGTGTGAGATGGAGGAAGTGTATCTAAATGAATAAAATTACACCAATGAGCTTGAAGGACAGTGGGGTGGTGACTTTGTTTCAAAGTAGGACACTGGTACTGTTGTAAATAGGAGGGAGGTTTGCGTGTGCGAGGTGGCAAACTGGATAAAGGAGCAGAAGTTGGAATGGGAGGTGAAGAAGCAGACAAGGGTGTGCAAGAGGAAGATGATGAGGATGATGGAGAAAGTGAAGGTGAAGATGAAGAACCTGAAGTTGTGTTTGTAGGATAGGAAAAAATGGAAGAAGTGTCTGGAGGTAAACTGGGAAGGACATGAGAGGAAGGAGAAGAGAGGTGATGAAAGGGGAAATGATTCTCATGGAAGCTTACATTCCTGCTGTAAAAGATTTGTCTAGTATGAAGATCAAGAAGTTTGTAGGCCTTTTTATGGAAAGGGTAACCCAGGAATACACAAGGAACAGCACGAGGTGCAAATTTAGTTCTATGAGATGACAATGTAGTGGCAAAACACAAACAGCCAAAAGACCTCAAATGATCATAAGTAGGAGGTTTATGAAAGACAATTTCATATGGAGTTTTATTGTGAAGAACAGAAAGGGGAAACCTGTTAATCAAGTAACAGGCTGTAAGAACACAATCTCCCCAATATTTGGTTGGTAGTTTGGCTTGGAAAAATAAGGCTCGGGCTGTTTCAAGCAAATGTTTGTGTTTGCGTTCTACAACCCCATTCTGCTGAGGTGTTTCAACACAAGAAGTTTGGTGAATGATTCCATGAGATTGGTAAAAAGATTGTGCAAATGAATCATCAAATTCCTTCCCATTATCGGAATGTATGATCTTAACAGAAACATTGAACTGGTTTTCAAGCTGAGTTATATAACTGGTGAGAGCAGTGAAGGCATTGGATTTGTGGGAAAGAAGTTGAACACAAGTTAATCTAGAAAAATCATCAACAATGGTCAAGAAAAATTTATGACCAGCATAGGTAGGGGTTTTGTATGGCCCCCAAATATCAACATGCAACATTTGAAAGATAGAAACAGATTTTATTGAACTAGAAGGAAAAGGTAATTTGTGCATTCGAGCTTGAGGACAAACATGACAAATGGAAGAAGATGTAAAATCAGTACATGAAAGCTGTTCAATGCACTTTATTCTATCGAAAGGCAAATGACCTAATCTACAATGCCACAATTCAGATTTAGACAAACTGACAACAGAAGAATGAGAAGAAGCATGAGAAGCTGTAGGTGAGCACTCCTGCACAAAATACAGGCCACCACTTTGTTTACCAACCAGCAATGAACTCTTCTTCATTGAGTCCTGAATCAAACAGTGGGAAGGGTAAAAGACAAAGGAACAAGATAGTTGAGCAACAAGTTTTTGTACAGACAACAAGTTGTAATGAAAATCAGGAACATGTAGAACATTAAGCAACTCTATTCCATTATGTAAGATTACACTTCCCTTGTGTAGAACTTTTGCCTTTTGGCCATTAGGTATGGTGATAAAACAAGACTCAGAAATAGGTTCATATGAGAAAAAGTTAGACAGATGAGGGCTTATGTGATCAGAGGCTCCACTGTCAATGATCCAAT